AAAATCACTTACTCACCCACAACTAAATAAATACCGAATAATTGTATCTCAAATTGTATCTCATAAATGTTTCTCATAATTGTATCTCATAAATGTTTAACCTGTGACCCAATCAAACTTTGTTATTTTTTTAATTACATTACCTAACAGAATACTCCATTCTACTGAATACACAGCAACACAGTAAATGACCATATGACCTGTCTTTGTAATACTCATTTGTGCTAAATTATTATCTGTTTACAATAATGTTTTACCACTGAATATATCATTGCTTAGTTAATCTTAAGTTAATTTTAAGCCTACCCATAATGCTCTGCATACAAGGGGCTTTGGCATGTTGCACTTTAACTACTGTATTCCTAAGTACTTCTCTGTATCATGTTCAAATTAATAAATAAAGAAATAAATGAATAAATGGTGTTCCGACATCAGGAGGAACACGGGTTCATGGGAAGCGCGGGTTCGTGGAGAGAAGCACAGGTTCATAGGGAGGAGCTTGGGTTTATGGGAAGGAGCATGGATTTATGGAAAGGAGCATGGGGTTCATGGGGAGGAGCATGGGGTTTTGGGGAGGAGCAAGGGTTTTGGGGAGGAGCAAGGGTTCATGGGTAGGAGCACGGGTTCATAAGGAGGAGCAGGATTGCTGGTGTCCCCCGGCCTTGCCAACCCTTCAACCCAACAACAACAACAACAACACAGAAATGTCACAGCTGACCCAGTTGTTCCATGACGGCAGCCTTTAGATTATCTGTGTTACCTTCACCTGAGTGAGTTAAGTGCACTAACAGTTCCTAGAACAGTGTTAAGATTACTGTAACAAGATTCATATTCACGTAATGCTCTCAGAATAAAACCACAGTGTTTGGCTTTGTTGAAGTGGATTTTATTGGGATTATTAACCCAGTGGGTTAGTAATGTGAGGTTAAGCCAATAATGTCACTCATTATGGCGTATTACCTTTAGGGTCCTACGATGATCTTCCCCAACAGTTGGCTAACATCCAGGTACCTACTTGGTGCTAGGCGAGTTGGTGCAACAGGAAACCAGAGGAAATGACTCACATTGATTTTGCTTGGTTATAATTAAGATAAATTTCTGTATCTAGGCCTCAAACGTAAGTAGTAACTCAAAATTTTTTGAACAGTGTACAGAAATTTAACCTGTAACCCAGTAAAATCAGTGCGTGTTATTTCCTCTGGTTTCCTGTTGTACCTACTCACCTAGCAGCAAGTAGGTACCTGGGTGTTAGCCTACTGTTAGGGAAGATAGTCTTAGGACCCTGAGGTAATACACCATACTGAGTGGCATTCTTGGCTTAACCTCAGGTTACTAACCCACTGGGTTGATAATCCCAATAAAATCTATTTAAAGAAAGCCAAACAAAAATTTTAAGATTTACTACTTAAATTTGAAGCCTAAATATGCATTAACTAACATGCCTAATGTTTCCATTCATGATGTGGACGAACCCCAGTCCTTCAGATGTTTCATTACAATATTTTTATACAATACCAGTAAGATGAGACATTAGGCACATACAACACTTGCGTATATCTACATCATTTAAGAAATTTTGCCAAGCCCCTGGTTAGCACAGCGTCTTCAAATAAAAGCGCCTAGGTACTGCAAATGTCCTATATACATATATGTAAAAATATTATCTCGTCATATTCTGTAGTAATACATAAAACTAGTTTCACTCCTATGGTTATTTTTATTATAATTATATTTTGAATTAACAGAAGACTCTTAGTATAGTATAATCTAAGTTTTCTTATTCTTGTGTAACTTGTTATTATTTTATCTGCTTCATATACATTTATTTTATATTAATGTAATCTATTTTGTTGTGAAAATCCTTAGTGTCTTATTTTTTTATTTTTATTATTTATTATCACACTGGCCGATTCCCACCAAGGCAGGGTGGCCCGAAAAAGAAAAACTTTCACCATCATTCACTCCATCACTGTCTTGCCAGAAGGGTGCTTTACACTACAGTTTTTAAACTGCAACATTAACACCCCTCCTTCAGAGTGCAGGCACTGTACTTCCCATCTCCAGGACTCAAGTCCGGCCTGCCAGTTTCCCTGAATCCCTTCATAAATGTTACTTTGCTCACACTCCAACAGCACGTCAAGTATTAAAAACCATTTTTGTCTCCATTCACTCCTATCAAACACGCTCATGCATGCCTGCTGGAAGTCCAAGCCCCTCGCACACAAAACTTCCTTTCACCCCTCCCTCCAACCTTTCCTAGGCCGACCCCTACCCCCTTCCTTCCACTACAGACTGATACACTCTTGAAGTCATTCTGTTTCGCTCCATTCTCTCTACATGTCCGAACCACCTCAACAACCTTCCTCAGCCCTCTGGACAACAGTTTTGGTAATCCCGCACCTCCTCCTAACTTCCAAACTACGAATTCTCTGCATTATATTCACACCACACATTGCCCTCAGACATGACATCTCCACTGCCTCCAGCCTTCTCCTCGCTGCAACATTCATCACCCACGTTTCACACCCATATAAGAGCGTTGGTAAAACTATACTCTCATACATTCCCCTCTTTGCTCCAAGGACAAAGTTCTTTGTCTCCACAGACTCCTAAGTGCACCACTCACTCTTTTTCCCTCATCAATTCTATGATTCACCTCATCTTTCATAGACCCATCCGCTGAACGTCCACTCCCAAATATCTGAATATGTTCACCTCCTCCATACTCTCTCCCTCCAATCTGATATTCAATCTTTCATCACCTAATCTTTTTGTTATCCTCATAAACCTTACTCTTTCCTGTATTCACCTTTAATTTTCTTCTTTTGCACACCCTACCAAATTCATCCACCAATCTCTGCAACTTCTCTTCAGAATCTCCAAGAGCACAGTGTCATCAGCAAAGAGCAGCTGTGACAACTCCACTTTGTGTGTGATTCTTTATCTTTTAACTCCACGCCTTTGCCAAGACCCTCGCATTTACTTCTCTTACAAACCCATCTATAAATATATTAAACAACCACGGTGACATCACCACATCCTTGTCTAAGGACCTACTTTACTGGGAAAAAATTTCCTCTTTCCTACATACTCTAACTTGAGCCTCACTATCCTCGTAAAAAATCTTCACTGCTTTCAGTAACCTACCTCCTACACCATACACTTGCAACATCTGCCACATTGCCCCCTATCCACCCTGTCATATGCCTTTCCAAATCCATAAATGCACACAAAGACCTCTTTAGCCTTATCTAAATACTGTTCACTTATATGTTTCACTGTAAACACCTGGTCCCACACCCCCCTACCTTTCCTAAAGCCTCCTTGTTCATCTGCTATCCTATTCTCCGTCTTACTCTAATTCTTTCAATTATAACTCTACCATACACTTTACCAGTGTACACTCAACAGACTTATCCCCCTATAATTTTTGCACTCTCTTTTATCCCCTTTGCCTTTATACAAAGGAATATGCATGCTCTCTGCCAATCCCTAGGTACCTTACCCTCTTCCATACATTTATTAAAATAATTGCACCAACCACTCCAAACTATATCCCCACCTGCTTTTAACATTTCTATCTTTATCCATTCAATCCCGGCTGCCTTACCCCCTTTCATTTTACCTACTGCCTCACGAACTTCCCCCACACTCACAACTGGCTCTTTCTCACTCCTATAAGATGTTATTCCTCCTTGCCTATACACGAAATCACGCTTCCCTATCTTCATCAACATTTAACAATTCCTCAAAATATTCCTCCATCTTCCAATACTCTACTTTCATTTAATAACTCTCCTCTATTTTTAAACTGACAAATCCATTTGTTCTCTAGGCTTTCTTAACTTGTTAATCTCACTCCAAAACTTTTTCTTATTTTCAACAAATTTGTTGATAACATCTCACCCACTCTCTCATTTGCTCTCTTTTACATTGCTTCACCACTCTCTAACCTCTCTCTTTTTCTCCATATACTCTTCCCTCCTTGCATCACTTCTACTTTGTAAAAACTTCTCATATGCTAACTTTTTCTCCCTTACTACTCTCTTTACATCATCATTCCACCAATCGCTCCTTTCCCTCCTGCACCCACTTTCCTGTAACCACAAACTTCTGCTGAACACTCTAACACTACATTTTTAAACCTACCCCATACCTCTTCGACCCCATTGCCTATCCTCCAATAGCTGTTTATATCTTACCCTAACTGCCTCCTCTTTTAGTTTATAAACCTTCACCTCTCTCTTCCCTGATGCTTCTATTCTCCTTGTATCCCATCTACCTTTTACTCTCAGTGTAGCTACAACTAGAAAGTGATCTGAGATATCTGTGGCCCCTCTATAAACATGTACATCCTGAAGTCTACTCAACAGTCTTTTATCTACCAATACATAATCCAACAAACTACTGTCATTTCGCCCTACATCATATCTTGTATACTTATTTATCCTCTTTTTCTTAAAATATGTATTACCTATAAACTAAACCCCTTTCTATACAAAGTTCAATCAAAGGGCTCCCATTATTCATTTACACCTGGCACCCCAAACTTACCTACCACACCCTCTCTAAAAGTTTCTCCTACTTTAGCATTCAGGTCCCCTACCACAATTACTCTCTCACTTGGTTCAAAGGCTCCTATACATTCACTTAACATCTCCCAAAATCTCTCTCTCTCCTCTGCATTCCTCTCTTCTCCAGGTGCATACACGCTTATTATGACCCACTTCTCGCATCCAACCTTTACTTTAATCCACATAATTCTTGAATTTACACATTCATATTCTCTTTTCTCCTTCCATAACTGATCATTTAACATTACTGCTACCCCTTCCTTTGCTCTAACTCTCTCAGATACTCCAGATTTAATCCCATTTATTTCCCCCCACTGAAACTCTCCTACCCCCTTCAGCTTTGTTAGTGTCTTGTATACATAAATGTAAAATATTCTAGTCCTTCAAAATATAAGTTTGGTTTAAGTTTGCCTGAAATGTTCTGCATAACTATGGGGCTTTCCCTGTGAGCGATGTAATGTTATCCAGTTTTGTACAGATGATGTATCATGTGGAAATAAGTTGACTGATTGATAGATATGTCCGATTCCTCATCTTTGGAAGTGAGCTGAAGATTCTGCCACTTGAGCCAAGGTTCATACTCTTCAGTCTTATTTTTAGAATAGCTTAGAAAGTAAAAGTGGTTTCTTCTTGAGTCTTCAAAAGTACTGAATTTCTTTTTTTTAGTGTTGATTCTGGCCCTAATAATAAGGAAAGTTGTTTGTAAATAAAGCAAATGTAAAAAATACTGCCTTAATCTCTGCCTAATCTAGAGGTTAGATACATTGAGAGATGTGTATAGTTGATAAATGACTTTTTTTTTTTTTTTTTTTTTTTTTTTTTTTTTTTTTTTTTTTTACAATTATGTACTTACCACCTGTGACATATTTTAAATACTTATTTTTTAAATAGCTCAAGATGTCTAGCCCAGAGGAATGTGTTAACTGCGCAGCAGAAGTCGCACGACAGGCCACGCACTTTGACACTATAGGAAGCCACCAGGCGGCCATCTACATGTACCGCCAAGCAGCAGAATATCTTAACCGCGCTACAACTCTGGGGTTGTGTAATCCAGCTATTTTAGATAGAATCGCGCAGTACAAAAATAGAGCTACTGCTCTTGAACATAATGGTATGTATGCAAAAATCGTGAACAAGCGATAGAAGATGCAAAACAACCATAGGGGGAGTTGAATGATAGCCACCTGTGATTGTATTTTCTTGGACCTCCTCCTCTTTTCTGCAACATTGCGAACTGCTAGTGATGTGTTGATTGCAACATGTCATTCAACTCCTCCCTGTGGTTGTTTTACATAATAGTATGTGCTTTTCTCTCTGTACTATATTATTAACACTGGTTTCTTTTCTTATCTGAGCTCATACTTTAAGTAAGAATTCTTATTATATAAATAGAATTGTCATTGTTTTTCACAGAAGCATATAAATTGTGCAATAATGTGATGAACGATCATCTTGCAAGATTTATATTAATGGTGATTGGAAAAATACAAATGTATATATAATTTGCCAGAATTAAGTAATTGCCCATAATTATTTCTCTGTATCCAAGATCTCATATTCTTCAGTTACAGTGTAAAGTAAAAGTTGCTATCAGCTTTCCTGTATTGTATAGAACTCCACTGGAAACCACATACAGCCTCTCCTCACTTAATGATGGAGTTCCTTTCCTAAGACCACGTTGTTAAACGAATTTGTCGCTAAGTGAGGAGCATACTATAATGGTAGTAGGTTTGTGTCAACCATGTCTGATATTGTTTTAATGCCACCTTTGCACTATTTATAACATTTTTAAATGTTTATACAGTAGTTTACTGTATACTGAAATAAACAGAATAGAGGAAATCATCTCTAATATACATTATTTAAGTATAAATACTGGTCAGAGAGCCTGTCATAAGTCCGAGGTGTTGGTAAATGAGTACGTCGCTAAGTGAGGAGAGGCTGTATCTAGCTAAATTTATCTCCCACTTCCCAACAGAATAGAGGAAATCATCTCTAATATACATTATTTAAGTATAAATACTGGTCAGAGAGCCTGTCATAAGTCTGAGGTGTTGGTAAATGAGTACGTCGCTAAGTGAGGAGAGGCTGTATCTAGCTAAATTTATCTCCCACTTCCCAACAGAATAGAGGAAATCATCTCTAATATACATTATTTAAGTATAAATACTGGTCAGAGAGCCTGTCATAAGTCCAAGGTGTTGGTAAATGAGTACGTCGCTAAGTGAGGAGAGGCTGTATTTAAATTTATCTCCCACATCCCAACAGAATGTCTCTTGCTCAGAGTCATACATACATGCCTCACCTTCAGCAGCTCTAGATCCTCCCTCACTTTTGGGTGAAAAGCATAAACAGTAGTTCTGCTCCATCCTCTGTAAATTCCCAAATTGTGAAAGTTTATTTAACTGTTTGGGGCAGCTTTGGTGTTCACACACAAAATATGGATATATGAACATGTCTTTACTTTTCTTTCAGTCAGCATTTATATGAAAATATACCAAATATACTTCAAAATTTTCTTATTTAATTTTTTACACATCAGAGACTTAAACTTAGAAACTGTTAAAAGCTCATGCATAGTCATTCTTCAAGTTTTCTTGCTATATTAACACTGTATGCACATCTTTAACCATAATTCATATTTATCTTTATTGTAACTCAGAAACTCAAGCTCATTCAGTGCAAATTACAAAAGAAGGAGGTCAGAGTGAGCTTAGCCGAGCTAACTTTCTGCTCCTGGAGGCACTAGATGAAGATGAGGCGGGTAATGCTGAAGAAGCCATTGAACTTTACTCCAATGCTGTACAACTTTGTCTTGAGGCCGTGAGTTGTACTTTAAATATTAGAAAGTACTGAATCTTATGTTTGTGATGTATTCTATTTCTTGTGTGTTTAGTATGCACATACACTGTAGAACATCCTAATTCACTGATTTTCATTATGCAGCATTCTCAGCAGATGGCTTTGCACAAACAAAATAGCTAGATTATTCATGAGTGTTTTTGTTTGGTGCAAAAGTCCTAAATTGAAAATCAACCATAGAATTCTATTGAAAATGTATACAATAGATTTTTCCATACCCAAACCAGTTTTTCTGTTTTAGACTCATGACTTTCAATATTAACCAGATTAGAGTGATATTTAAAATGATTTGGCCTTTGAAATGCAAAATAAGTTCAAATCTAAAATTTGTTTATTATGAGAGTCCTAATTTTGTAGCATTCACTGATTCTAAATTTGTGAATCTTTAGAAATGCAGTCTCTGCAAATTTGGGGAATTGACTTATCTTTTTTAAGTTTAAGATATGTTTTTGATCCTTAATCATTGCAATTTCATCTTAAGTATTAATTCTTTCAACAGTGTAACAATGCCAGCAATGCCAGAATAACAGACAAGCTGCGGAAGTTGGCTGAGCAAGCACTGACTCGAGCTGAAGTTTTGAAATCCCAGGAGACTGGAGAAGAAGCCAGTAAGTATGTTACTACAAGTAAAATCATAAACAGGAAGTTTATCTCTCTTTTATTTAGAAGTGATTTATTTACATTGCTTAAGGTATTAATAAAGATGATTTTGTTTTTTAGATACTAATGAAACAAGAGAAGTCTTAGGTTTGTACTGTAACTACAACTGTCTATCAATCATCAGCCTAACCCCCTCATTTTTTGTACAAAACTAAAACAATATTTATAAAAATTCTATTATTGCTTTCTTTGATTTTCTTATGATAAAATGAGTATTCTGGAGTCCTGGAAGTGGAAAGCACTTTGAAGAATAGGTGGGGATATTGCAGCTTGGAGGATTATTTGAATTTTTATGTCCACGATTTTCAGGCAAAATAGCTAATGATGGAGTGAAAGTGAATATGTTTTCGTCTCTGTGTTACCCTGTCTTGGTGGGAAATGTCTGATGAAGAGACAGCAAGGTAGGTGATGCATTGAGGTATCTGTGGAAACAAAGAACCATATCCATTGTGTCAAAATGGAGAATTTACCTGAGTATAGCACAAATACAAATTTTTATTTCTTTATGTACAAAATAATATAGTTTACATGTAATAAAACATTGGTAGTCACAAAAGAAAGCCACTAGTGTGCACTGTTATATATCAGGGTCATCTCCATCCAAAATAATAACATGGAGTGAAGCATGGGTTTTAAACATTGCAGCAAGCAAGTGGTTGGTAACAGGGAACATGTCACATTCCAGGACAATATGTAGTGTGAATATATTGCAAGGAACTTGCAGACTGGAGATAAGGAGGCAGTGTGGAATTACTAAAAGTATTATTCAAAGGATGGAGGTGGTTTTGACATATAAAGATAATGGTGCAAAATAGGACAATTAGGAGGGCATATATATCTGTGGTGGAGGGAAGGAGAGATAGAGGCCCTTTCAGGAAATGTTGGAGTGAAGGGGTAAGGGAAGTTTTAAATGCTAGGGGCTTGTGTGAACCTGTTAAATAGGAATGAGTGGAGGCAATTGGCTTTTATGATTTGACATTTTGTTGGAACATGGGGAAACAGGTTAGCTGGACTGAGCCCAGGAGATGAGAGGTACACTGCTTTCATTCTGAAGTAGGGGGTGGGGATGTTGCAGTCTGCAGAGTTATCAGAGCTCTAATGTTGGCATTCTTCTGGCAAGGCTGTGATTGAATAAATGATGGTAAATTACTGTTAAATAACAGTATTAATAATTTTTCTTTATTTTTAACACATCAATTGTTTCCCATCAAGGCAGGGTGGACCAAAAAAGAAAAACTTTCATCATTCACTCTATCACTGTCTTGCCAGAGGTGCATTCACACTACAGTTATAAAACTGCAACATTAACACCCTCCAGAGTGCAGGCACTGTACTTTCCACCTCCAGGGCTCAAGTCTGACCTACTGGTTTCCCTGAATCCCTTCGTAAATGTTACCTTGCTCACACTCCATAGGACGTCAAGTCCAAAAACCATTTGTCTCCATTCGCTCTTATCTAACATGCTCACGCATGCTTGCTGGAAGTCCAAGCCCCTCGCACACAAAACCTTTATTATTATTATTATTATTATTAATTATAATACAGTAATATAAAACTTTTCAACCAGAATTAGGAAATTTCAATGGAAAATTTAGATACTGTAATACAGCAGTACAAAATTTTATTCAGATATCAGACATGTCATATTAGTGCACTTAGCAATTAATGACTTTTAAATTACACAAGAAAACTCACTGTTCAAAACCAACCCAGCAGGTATGAGTTCAGACAAGGCAGCTAACAAAACTCAGCATCGCAAGGTTTCACCAACCCGCATCATCCCTCCTCTGGGCATTGGAAATTTGGTCAATTCCAAACCTCAGGCTCAAGGTAGGTGAATCTGCTGTCAGATCAGCAAGACCTTGCTCTAAGCTCAAGCACTGGCACCCCAATAATTTTTTTGCTGCTTACATAATTTGACCAACCTACGTGACCTCTTAACACTTAGGCTTGTTTCACTGAATAATGGCCGTGACAGATGTGTATGATTGAATCCTGTGTCCTTAGGTGGGAGCCCACATGCAGAGAGAAACGAATAAAAGTTATCTGTATATTTCTACTCCTATTTGAGGTCCTCACCAGTAAACATGAGTGAGAAAAGATTATAGCTATATTTAGGCTGGTAGTCCATTAATATGAAGTTGAATCTTCCATGGAAAGCCAGTGTTAAATTTCTCTTTTTATTATGTCTTGTCACTAATACAGAACAGCACAATGATACTCTCATCTTAATTATTAATAACTATCCAAATCATATCCCTTATTTGTTATTTTCTAGGCAAGATTTATTTGCATTGTACAGTTCCTGTCATATCATAATTAAAAATTCCCCGTACAGTTTGTACTATGTAAATAGCTTTTAAATTTTATTTTGTAGATGAATTTAAATGAAGAAGCGCATCTTAGGTTTTAAATTTTGCTTCATGTTCTATGTGCATTAACAAACAAAAATTTATGGAATCAGTATCAGTTTTGTATTGTCCCTAGAGGAAATAACTCCCTTATCATCTATATAAACTATTAGAGGGCAAGAAATAAAAGTAAAAGATTTGCACATTTGCTGTTATGTTGGGTGAAATTTATGAAGGCTAAGAACTATTCTTTCAGACAAAATGTTTTATCCAAAATTCTTTTGTAGACTTCCTTAGAAGCTGAAGTGTGATTTTCTAGCTTAGGGAATAATTGGTTCTTGCTAAGTAAGTTGTTGTTGGGCTAATCTATGGTCAGTTATGAACCATGTAAATTAAAATGACTGTACTATGTGTTTTCTCCAGAGTTACTTTTAATTTGCTAAACCACACAAAAATTCATGTTAGCTAGGGTATAGCAGGCTTGGGAATCTAATTCTGTAGATTATATGGTGTCTTCTGTGTTATAATAGGATATGGCTATCACTAGTTCGTTTAAGAAATTTTTCTATACTGAAATAATCCATCTTTAAATTCAGGGAGGGTAATTTTAAGCATTGACAAAATATTATTAACCTAAGACTTGCATTTTTCATGTATCTTATTTTACAGCCAGACCCAATGTTGTTAACAAAGTTGGTCTCCAGCTATCAGGCAAATCTGAATACACAAAGGAGGAATTAGATGTATTAAAAAGAACTTCCAACATTAATGGCCGAAACTATGTTCCATTTTTGGCCATTGATCTCAAAGAAAAATTTGCTTTTTCTTTGCCCTTTTCTGATAAGGATGGCCTGCTTCCTCTAGCACCAAAACAGAAAAAGAACTTTGCTAGATGGGCACGGCCAGAGGATATATCCAGTGACCCCAAAATGATTGAAGTAGTGGATTGCTTTAGTATCAAGCAGACTTGTGTTTCTGATTGTTCCTTTGTAGCATCTGTTGCCATCAGTGCTCTCTATGAGAAAAGGTTCAAGAAAAGACTCATAACGGACATAATTTTTCCAAAGAACCGCAGTGGTGATCCTGTGTATAATCCCTGTGGGAAATATATGATTAAACTTCATATAAATGGAATCCCAAGGAAAGTTATTATAGATGACAGATTGCCTGTAGGTCATCATGGTGAGTTATTGTGCTCATATTCAACCAATAAGAATGAATTTTGGATTTCACTTGTGGAGAAATCCTATCTCAAGGTGATGGGGGGTTATGATTTTCCTGGCTCCAATAGCAACATTGATCTCTATGCTCTGACTGGTTGGATCCCAGAGCGTGTTTCTATCAAGGATAAAGATTTCAACAAGGAAGGAACATTTCGCAAGATAATTGACCGCTTCCATCATGGTGATGTGCTGGTTACCATGGCAACTGGGGAGATGAGTGATGGTGAAGCAGATCGAGCAGGACTTGTACCTACTCATGCATATGCAATGCTTGACATTAAGGAAGTAAAGGTAATGCCTAGTATATATTTGTTAAGGTGTTGAAAAACAGAATTTAAACATGGAGGTGTTAGCAGTATTTATGCAGTACATGATAATGCAGTCAGACCTCGAAATCCAAGAATGTTATAGTCCTATAAATCCCAGGGAAACTAAAACCAACAGATATTAGTATTATTAGGTAGTAGGTTGGTAGACAGCAACCACCCAGGGAAGTACTACCGTCCTGCCAGATGACTGTGAAACAAAAACCTGTAACTGTTTTGCATGATGGTAGGATTGCTGGTTTCTTTTTCTGTCTCATAAACACGCTAGATAACAGGGATATCTTGCTACTCCTACTTACACTTTGGTCACACTTCACAGACACGCACATGCATATATATATATATACATACATCTAGGTTTTTCTCCTTTTTCTAAATAGCTCTTGTTCTTTTTTATTTCTTCTATTGTCCATGGGAAGTGGAAAAGAATCTTTCCTCCGTAAGCCATGCGTGTCGTATGAGGCGACTAAAATGCCGGGAGCAATGGGCTAGTAACCCCTTCTCCTGTATACATTTACTAAAAAGAGAAGAAGAAAAACTTTATAAAACTGGGATGCTTAAATGTGCGTGGATGTAGTGCGGATGACAAGAAACAGATGATTGCTGATGTTATGAATGAAAAGAAGTTGGATGTCCTGGCTCTAGGCGAAACAAAGCTGAAGGGGGTAGGAGAGTTTCAGTGGGGGGAAATAAATGGATTAAATCTGGAGTATCTGAGAGAGTTAGAGCAAAGGAAGGGGTAGCAGTAATGTTAAATGATCAGTTATGGAAGGAGAAAAGAGAATATGAATGTGTAAATTCAAGAATTATGTGGATTAAAGTAAAGGTTGGATGCGAGAAGTGGGTCATAATAAGCGTGTATGCACCTGGAGAAGAGAGGAATGCAAGAGGAGAGAGAGAGATTTTGGGAGATGTTAAGTGAATGTATAGGAGCCTTTGAACCAAGTGAGAGAGTAATTGTGGTAGGGGACCTGAATGCTAAAGTAGGAGAAACTTTTAGAGAGGGTGTGGTAGGTAAGTTGGGGTGCCAGGTGTAAATGATAATGGGAGCCCTTTGATTGAACTTTGTATAGAAAGGGGTTTAGTTATAGGTAATACATATTTTAAGAAAAAGAGGATAAATAAGTATACAAGATATGATGTAGGGCGAATGACAGTAGTTTGTTGGATTATGTATTGGTAGATAAAAGACTGTTGAGTAGACTTCAGGATGTACATGTTTATAGAGGGGCCACAGATATATCAGATCATTTTCTAGTTGTAGCTACACTGAGAGTAAAAGGTAGATGGGATACAAGGAGAATAGAAGCATCAGGGAAGAGAGAGGTGAAGGTTTATAAACTAAAAGAGGAGGCAGTTAGGGTAAGATATAAACAGCTATTGGAGGATAGATGGGCTAATGAGAGCATAGGCAATGGGGTCGAAGAGGTATGGGGTAGGATTAAAAATATAGTGTTAGAGTGTTCAGCAGAAGTTTGTGGTTACAGGAAAGGGGGTGCAGGAGGGAAGAGGAGCGATTGGTGGAATGATGATGTAAAGAGAGTAGTAAGGGAGAAAAAGTTAGCATATGAGAAGTTTTTACAAAGTAGAAGTGATGCAAGGAGGGAAGAGTATATGGAGAAAAAGAGAGAGGTTAAAAGAGTGGTGAAGCAATGTAAAAAGAGAGCAAATGAGAGAGTGGGTGAGATGTTATCAACAAATTTTGTTGAAAATAAGAAAAAGTTTTGGAGTGAGATTAACAAGTTAAAGAAAGCCTAGAGAACAAATGGATTTGTCAGTTAAAAATAGGAGAGGAGAGTTATTAAATGGAGAGTTAGAGGTATTGGGAAGATGGAGGGAATATTTTGAGGAATTGTTAAATGTTGATGAAGATAGGGAAGCTGTGATTTCATGTATAGGCAAGGAGGAATAACATCTTGTAGGAGTGAGGAAGAGCCAGTTGTGAGTGTGGGGGAAGTTCGTGAGGCAGTAGGTAAAATGAAAGGGGTAAGGCAGCCGGGATTGATGGGATAAAGATAGAAATGTTAAAAGCAGGTGAGGATATAGTTTTGGAGTGGTTGGTGCAATTATTTAATAAATGTATGGAAGAGGTAAGGTACCTAGGGGTTGGCAGAGAGCATGCATAGTTCCTTTGTATAAAGGCAAAGGGGATAAAAGAGAGTGCAAAAATTATAGGGGGATAAGTCTTTGAGTTTTACCTGGTAAAGTGTATGGTAGAGTTATAATTGAAAGAATTAAGAGTAAGACGAGGAGAATAGGAATAGCAGATGAACAAGGAGGCTTTTGGAAAGGTAGGGGTGTGTGGACCAGGTGTTTACAGTGAAACATATAAGTGAACAGTATTTAGATAAGGCTAAAGAGGTCTTTGTGGCATTTATGGATTTGGAAAAGGCGTATGACAGGGTGGATAGGGGGGCAATGTGGCAGATGTTGCAAGTGTATGGTTGTAGGAGGTAGGTTACTGAAAGCAGTGAAGAGTTTTTACGAGGATAGTGAGGCTTCAAGTTAGAGTATGTAGGAAAGAGGGAAATTTTTTCCCAGTAAAAGTAGGCCTTAGACAAGGATGTGTGATGTCACCGTGGTTGTTTAATATATTATAGATGGGGTTGTAAGAGAAGTAAATGCGAGGGTCTTGGCAAGAGGCGTGGAGTTAAAAAGATAAAGAATCACACACAAAGTGGAGTTGTCACAGCTGCTCTTTGCTGATGACACTGTGCTCTTGGGAGATTCTGAAGAGAAGTTGCAGAGATTGGTGGATGAATTTGGTAGGGTGTGCAAAAGAAGAAAATTAAAGGTGAATACAGGAAAGAGTAAGGTTATGAGGATAACAAAAAGATTAGGTGATGAAAGATTGAATATCAGATTGGAGGGAGAGAGTATGGAGGAGGTGAACGTATTCAGATATTTGGGGTGGACGTGTCAGCGGATGGGTCTATGAAAGATGAGGTGAATCATAGAATTGATGAGGGAAAAAGAGTGAGTGGTGCACTTAGGAGTCTGTGGAGACAAAGAACTTTGTCCTTGGAGGCAAAGAGGGGAATGTATGAGAGTATAGTTTTTACCAACGCTCTTATATGGGTGTGAAGCGTGGTGATGAATGTTGCAGCGAGGAGAAGGCTGGAGGCAGTGGAGATGTCATGTCTGAGGGCAATGTGTGGTGTGAATATAATGCAGAGAATTCGTAGTTTGGAAGTTAGGAGGGAGGTGCGGGATTACCAAAACTGTTGTCCAGAGGGCTGAGGAAAGGTTGTTGAGGTGGTTTGGACATGTAGAGAGAATGGAGCGAAACAGAATGACTTCAAGAGTGTATCAGTCTGTAGTGGAAGGAAGGCGGGGTAGGGGTCGGCCTAGGAAAGGTTGGAGGGAGGGGGTAAAGGAGGTTTTGTGTGCGAGGGGCTTGGACTTCCAGCAGGCATGCATGAGCGTGTTTGATAGGAGTGAATGGAGACAAATGGTTTTTAATACTTGACGTGCTGTTGGAGTGTGAGCAAAGTAACATTTATGAAGGGATTCAGGGAAACCGGCAGGCCGGACTTGAGTCCTGGAGATGGGAAGTACAGTGCCTGCACTCTGAAGGAGGGGTGTTAATGTTGCAGTTTAAAAACTGTAGTGTAAAGCACCCTTCTGGCAAGACAGTGATGGAGTGAATGATGGTGAAAGTTTTTCTTTTTCGGGCCACCCTGCCTTGGTGGGAATCGGCCATTGTGATAATAATAAAAAAAAAAATAAAAAAAAAAATTAGTATTATAACCCAAGGTTATGATCATGATTTTGATGCTTTCACCGTTGAGACTTCTGAAATTAAAAGTGCTGACAGTATCATGATTTAAAACAAATCTTTCAAAATGGTAATCTTTTTCTGAATGTAATGATACCAAAAATGTGAAATTTGATGGAAAACTTATGGCATTATGCATGCACAAAATTGGTGGTCTGGGTGCAATTTAAGCTTCAGCGATTTTGATCAATTTTTGTCCTATTTTAAGTCGATCCTTTGGCTTAATTTAAAAAAATTCTTAGCTACTCCATTAGTATGTCTTCTATCAGTTGAACATATGAAACCACCCATTCAAATGTGAGAACTATCCTGTAAAATGCACATATGTCAGTAACTTGGTTAATTTTACACAAAATTCAATAAATTTTACTTTAAAAACAGACTTCAAAATAAGCACTGCATTCCAGCTTCTAATCAGCCTATCCTCTGTGCATTAGTCACATCCTCAGGCCTTTCTCATATTACACTTGTCCTCCAATCTGAATCCAAAATCATAGTTTTACCATATTTCTCAATTAAAATATAACCAAAAATAATTGGTCAGGATGTCCCTGATCTGTTTTATAGACTTTTACATAGTAAAAATCCATAAAACAGACCAGGAAAGGAGTACGTAGGAGGCCTCATCCTTCCTCAGGAAAATCATCAAAATCTAATATTTCCACTACTTTGAGCACTATTTAAAACTGATACTGCTCTTGGAACAGACCAAAATCATTTCTACTTCAGTAGTTCTTCCATACTATCGGTTGATATAAGAAACAGCCAATAAAAATCATAAAAAAACCATCTTAGAAAATACTTCAGAGACACTATTTTAAACCAAACACAAGGTCAAAGGTTTGTTTTTCACATCATGTACTGCATGAGGCACAATTTTTTTTGTACCATGCACACTTGCAACTCAAATCCATTCTCTCATGTCTAGGCCAAAATTTACTGCTCACAGCATATTTGAGTGTTGTGTGTAAAACGTAGATCTACATGAGCAACACTGGCATCAGTAGTATAGATCTATGCAAGACAGAGTAAAGGGTTAAATATGAAAAAAAATATTCAGATGTAATCCTACTCTAATTAATCTGAATGTAAATTTCAACTCTTGATCTTAAATTAATTCATGTAATGTTCTATACTCCAAAATTTCACCTGAGTAGGAAAAATTCTCTTAGGCTTCATTTTAGCCTGTATTTCAGGGAAAACGTTTGTTGATGTTGAAGAACCCATGGTCCCACCTGCGCTGGAAAGGAAATTACTCTGAAATGGACCAAGAACACTGGACTCCAGAAATGTGTAGACTTCTTAATTATGACCCCAAGAGTGCTCAGACATTTGACAATGGTGTCTTCTGGATTGATTATGATAGTTTATGCCACTTCTATGATGTAATCTACATGAACTGGAATCCTCGGCTTTTCTCTCACACATATTGTATACATGAGTGGGTATACTTTTTTTTCCTATCATTACATTTTCTGTACATAGCTTCAGTTTTTCCAGTTTTTCCAGTGTGGCTTATATACTATATTTTTGTCTTTTCAGTATTGTATAGAGATACAGTATACTGTATTAAGGCTTTTTATTATATGGGTAGTTAAAAACTTAGGTAGCAAGTTGGTAGACAGCAACCGCCCAGGAAGGTGTACTACTGTCCTGCCAAGTGAGTGTAAAATGTAAGCCTATAAGTGTTTTACATGATGGTAGAATTGCTAGTGTCTTTTACCTGTCTCATAAACATACAAGATTTCAGGTATGTCTTGCTACTACTTCTTACATTTCACATGCATGTACAAGCATATATATACACACCCCTCTGGGCTTTCTTCTATTTTCTTACTAATTCTTGTTCTTGTTTATTTCATCTTACCTACATAAGGAAGCAGAACAGAATTCGTCCTCCATAAGCCATGCATGTCGTAAGAGGTGACTAACATGCCAGGAGCAAAGGGCTAGTAACCCTTTCTCTTGTATACATTACTAAAGTTAAAAAGAGAAACTTTTGTTTTTCTTTCTGGGCCACCCTGCCTTGGTGGGTTACAGCCAGTTTGTTGAAAGAAGAGTAATAGTAGTTAAAAACAAATTACTAATTACATAGAAATACAAACTGTTTGAATTTCATGCATTAAAACTATGCATTTCTTAATAAGAGTACTTATTACCTTTATACTTTATTTAAGAGAAAATGCTAAACTCACTGGGGTCATGCAGTGCTTGGGAAATGGGAGGCAGTTAGGTTTGAATCAATTCCTTGGATCATGAGACCCTAACTAGCATAAAGGCACCTTCCTTAACCCTTTGACTGTTTCAGGCCCCTTTCTGAAACTGTCATTCTATGTCGCTAAATTTTTGAAAAAAAAAATTATTTTTTCTTATGAAATGATAGAGAATCTTTTCCTGATGGTAATGACACCAAAAGTTCTAAATTTGGTCGAAAACTCATGGAATTACACTCCCGTGAAGTTATCGGTCTCGGCGACATATGCGTATCGGCGATTTCGCCGACTTGGAGCCCTATTTTCAGCCAATTCCATTGTTCCAGTTGACCAAACTCATAGCTATTTCTTTAGAACTCCATTTTATCTATCAGCTGAGTACAAGAAACCTCCCATTTACCAATTTGGACTACCCAATATTGTGGTCAGAAATTGGCAATTTGGCCAATTTCACGCAAACTAAAAAAGATGCCAATTTCAAAATAGGGTCCAGAATAAACAAGGTAGACATTCTTGGCACTAAAATAACATATCCTCTTTTCATTAGTCACATCTCTAGGCCCCTCTTATATTATTATTGCTTTCTATTTTGATTTTTTATTCATACAAAAAAATACAAAATTTACTGTTATGCAGACTACTGCATTATTGTAAAAATGGTATAAATAATATCAGTGCACTAGTGAAAGAATATTAGACTCCCCAGTTGACGTGTATTGGACGTGTGGTGTGATTTGTTTACTCCTGAACATTGGTAAAAATCGAACATTTCCGCTACTTTGAGCTCAGTTTCAAGGACGTTTTCATCGTCAAAGTAATGAAAATCATCTCTATTTCTGTAATATGTTTTCCATTTTATCACCTAAGACCATGAAAATGCAAATACATCGATAAATACTATACGAAAATACACCTCAAATTCGGCGTTTTAATCCAAAAAAATGATCAGTTTTTTTTTCTCATTACGCACTGTGTGCTGCAGGATTTTTTTTATGTGGTGCACACTGACCATACAGACCCATTCTCTCATATGTGGGCCTACCAGCTTTCTTCCGCTTGATTTGAAGCCGCTAGATTTTTTTTTTTTTTCTTTTTTATCACACTGGCCGATTCCCATCAAGGCAGGGTGGCCCGAAAAAGAAAAACTTTCACCATCATTCACTCCATCACTGTCTTGCCAGAAGGGTGCTTTACACTACAGTTTTTAAACTGCAACATTAACACCCCTCCTTCAGAGTGCAGGCACTGTACTTCCCATCTCCAGGACTCAAGTCCGGCCTGCCGGTTTCCCTGAACCCCTTCATAAATGTTACTTTGCTCACACTCCAACAGCACGTCAAGTATTAAAAACCATTTGTCTCCATTCACTCCTATCAAACACGTCTGAAACACTGGCTCGTAAAACGTATATATACGACCAAAACAGTCAAAGGGTTAAGAGGATAATAAAGTGCCAGTCAGATTATCCAGTGGAGTCATAGGCTCCTTATTAGTAGTACCATACCACTACAGCAGCAACACACCTAAAGCCAATAATAACTCAACAAAAAGCCGCAGTAAGAATAATCACTAAATCCCATCCCTGGCAACACACCCTCCCACTCTTCATAGATCTAAACTTACTCCCTGTTCAGAACATCCACACTTACTACTGTGCAATCTATATCTACAGGACCTTAAATTCCAATATTAACCTTGACTTAAAACACTTTCTTGATAGTTGTGACAGGATCCACAGGCATAACACCAGACACAAACATCTCTATGACATTCCCCGTGTTCGACTAAACCTTTACAAAACTTCAATGTATTTCAAAAGACCTAAAATCTGGAACACCCTACCTGAAAACTCTAGAACTGTAGACACATTCATCACTTTCAAAACTACAGTTAGAAAACATCTTATCTCCCTGATCCACCCCGACAACTAACTACATGATAACCACCTGGTGGTTCACAATTACACTCACTCACCCACTGACTATAAACCCAGAAATACTAATCTTAATCTTAAAATAATAAATCCTAACTAGTCATAAGTTTGCCTACGATACTCCAATATAGATACTTTTTTTTTTTTTTTTTTTTTCAACAAGTCAGCCGTCTCCCACCGAGGCAGGGTGACCCAAAAAGAAAGAAAATCCCCAAAAAGAAAATACTTTCATCATCATTCAACACTTTCACCTCACTCACACATAGTCACTGTTTTTGCAGAGGTGCTCAGAACACAACAGTTTAGAAGCATATATGTATAAAGATACACAACATATCCCTCCAAACTGCTAATATCCCAAAACCCCTCCTTTAGAGTGCAGGCACTGTACTTTCCATTTCCAGGACTCAAGTCCGGCTATATAAAAATAACTGGTTTCCCTGAATCCCTTCACTAAATATTACCCTGCTCACACTCCAACAGATCATCAATCCCAAATACCATTTGTCTCCATTCACTCCTATCGAACACGCTCATGCACACCTGCTGGAAGTCCAAGCCCCTCACCCACAAAACCTCCCTTACCCCTACCTTCCAACCTTTTTGATGACGACCCCTACCCCGCCTTCCTTCTCCTACAGATTTAAATGCTCTCCATGTCATTCTACTTTGATCCATTCTCTCTAAATGACCAAACCACCTCAACAACCCCTCTTCAGCCCTCTTGACTAATACTTTTATTAACTCCACACCTTCTCCTAATTTCCACACTCCAAATTTTCTGCATAATATTTACACCACACATTGCCCTTAAACAGGACATCTCCACTGCCTCCAACCGCCTCCTTGCTGCTGCATTTACAACCCAAGCTTCACACCCATATAAGAGTGTTGGTACTATTATACTTTCATACATTCCCCTCTTTGCCTCCATAGATAACATTTTTTGACTCCACATATACCTCAACGCACCACTCACCTTGTACTGTGCCAAAACAAAAGCATTCACATTGCTAAACTCACAAATTATGATGTAGTCACTTAGCCTTAATACCATAATCTTTAAGGATTTAATGTTAAGAATTAATCTAAGTCTGCTCGAAATGCCTAGCCATGCTAGGTGTCCTAGTGGCCCCCCTCTGTAATTAGTATTTTATAACTTGTAAACCACACAATACCCAAAACCTGTAAACCCCACATTGTAACCCTTGTAGAGAATAAACTTGAATTGAATTGAATGGTGGGTGTCTTAATGCAAGTAGAGAGAGTTCTTGGTTCATTGAATTTGAGTTTTAATCCTCCTCCTCCTTCAAACCTCCTTCAAACCAAATTACCTTCCATTTCCCAACTGGTTTATAAAGTAATTATATAGACCATTTTCAGGGTTACATAACTTGCCAATATTTCAGAACCTGGAATGCTGGTTCAGGCCCAGTACGAGACTTGTACAACATTGGGGAGAACCCGCAGTATTCGCTGGATGTGCAGTGTCCTGGGGGTACAGCAGTCTGGATTCTTCTCACTAGACACATTACTGAAATAGAAGATTTTCGCAATAATAAGGAGTATATAACCCTTCTTGTCTACAAGACTGGTGGGAAAAAGGTCTTCTATCCCTGTGAGTCAAATTATATTTCTCTCAAGTTTTTTTTTTTTTAGTTACTTAATCCCCTAACATTCAGATATAACCTGTGAATTGAATATTTGTACATAGAAGCACTTTCCAAGGTTATTACATCAGTATGGCAACATCCTAATGAAGGATAGAATTTTCCAACTTTTATTTATAACACACCACTTGTTTACTACAAAGTAAGGATGACCTGAAAAAGAGAAAACATGCCCAGTGTCATTCATTCACTCTTGGTCTTGGTAAAAGTTTATTAACTTCACTGTTCAGATGACCCTTTGAGCTGCAACATCCTCACCCCTCTAAAATGTAGGCCTGTACTTCCCATTTTCAAGACTAAAAAGTCTGGGTTTCCATTAATCTCTTCATAAATGTTACCTTGCTCTCACACTAACAGCATGTCAAATCACAAAAACCACTTTGATCCACTCACTGATCTAAAGGGCTCACACAGGCCTATTGGATGTTTAACCCTTTCAGGGTTTCGGCCGTACTAGTACGGCTTACGCACCAGGGTCCATAACGTACTAGTACTCATAAATTCTAGTGCCTTCAAATCTAGTGAGAGAAAGCTGGTAGGCCTACATATGAAAGAATGGGTCTATGTGGTCAGTGTGCACAGCATAAAAAAATCCTGCAGCACACAGTGCGTAATGAGAAAAAAAAAACTTTGACTGTGTTTTTGGATTAAAACAGCGACTTTGCACTGTACAGTGGACCCCCGCATAACGATTACCTCTGAATGTGACCAATTATGTAAGTGTATTTATGTAAGTGCGTTTGTACGTGTATGTTTGGGGGTCTGAAATGGACTAATCTACTTCACAATATTTCTAATGGGAACAAATTCGGTCGATACTGGCACCTGAACATACTTCTGGAGTGAAAAAATATCGTTAACCGGGGGTCCACTGTATTTTCGTATGGTATTTATTGTTGTATTCTAGTTTTCCTGGTCTCATTGTATAGAATGGAAGACATATTACAGAAATTGAGATGATTTTGACTGGTTTTACAATGAAAAGTACCTTGAAATTGAGCTCAAAGTAGCAGAAATGTTCGATTTTTACCAAAGTTTAAAAGTAAACAAATCATGCTAAGCGTCCAATACACGTTAACTGGTGAGTCTAATATTCTTTCACAAGTGCGCTGATATTATTTATACCATTTCTACACTAATGCAGTAGTCTGCATAACAGTAAATCTTCTATTTTTTGTCAGAATAAAAATTCAAAATGGAAAGCGAAAGAATGTAAGAGGGGCGTGGGGATGTGACTAATGAACAGAGGAAATGTTATTTTAGTGCCAGGAATGTCTTTCTTGTTTATTCTGGACCCTATTTGGAAATTGGCATCTTTTGAAATTTGTGTGAAATTTGTAAAATTGCTAAATTCTGACCACTGTATTGGATAGTTGAAATCTGTAAATTGGTGGTTTCTTGTACTCATTCGATAGAAAAAATGGAGTTCTAGCGAAATAGTTATGATTTTTGTCGACTAGTACATTGGAAATGGCCGAAAATAGGGCTCAAAGTGGGCAAAATCGCCGATGCGTAAACATCGTCGAGACTGCTAACTTCGCGAGAGCATAATTCCATAAGTTTTCCATCAAATTTCATACTTTTGGTGTCATTATGATAGGGAAAAGATTCTCTGTCTTTTCATAAGAAAAATATTTTTTTTTTTTTCGAAAAATTTCTGACCCTGGGAACAAGTCTCTGAGAGGGCCTGTGGACCCTGAAAGGGTTAATAAGCTCCCTAGCATTCATATTTTTTTTTAGTTTTTACCCCTTGCCCCCTATATAATATAATGAATAAAATATTTTCTTATTCATTTGGAACTGAAAAGAATAAATTTTTATGTATGAGTTAGCTTTACAAATAAAACATTAGTATACAAAGACATGAAAATTGTTGCAGATTTCACCTGTAGTTTGGTTTTAACATTGCCCTCTTGCTTTTTGAATTCTTAAACTTTTCATTCTGCATTCTATATGATAAAATGCTATACAGACAAATATAAGCTAAATGTGGGTAAGACAGAGAGTTTGATTGTCAGGGGAAAACCTCAGGAAGTACGGATTGAAGATTTTGGTGCCTTTGATTGTGGTACTGTCAGTCTCATTCTCTTCTTAATCATCCCATTTTTTGTACACACAGTTTAACTATCTTTCATTAGAAGCTAAAGATTCTCTTTAGGCCACCATTGATGAGAATTAAAGATGCCAGAAGAAGCATGGCACCATAGTATAGAGATAGAATAAATTGATTTTTTTTTTGACCTCATCAATGTCTTAGCTGCCAGAAGGCAGTCATTTCTATGACTGCCTTTCATTAACATATTATTTGTTAATACTGGCTTTATTTTAATATTAGCCACAAACATTGTAAAGCATTTTTGTGCTTATTTATAATAGGCACATATGATCTTCAAGAATACGTTGTTCTAGAATAAAAATTTAAGTGATAAAGACACTGCAAATGCATTTCCTTCCCCTTTAGTGGGGTTAGATCAGGTAGCTGTAAAGCCTTTTATTCCACTCAAGAGACTTGCATACGGTGAATCAAAAGTAAGCAATTTGTTCTAGAGTGCACATTAATTTTAACTGAGCTAAAACACGGAGATGATGCAGACATTTCACACTTAGTTACCATGTTTTAAAAAATATTGCTGTTGTGGATACTGCTGTCTAGTTTCCAGTTTTGTTGTACAATATGCAGGTAGTTACCTCTTATGTATATATCAAGTCACTGATTTTTTTTTTTTTAACACATCGGCTATTTCCCACTGAGTCAGGGTGACCCAAAAAGAAAGAAAATAACTTTCGTCATCATTCAGCACTTTCACTATCACTCATACATAATCACTGTCTTTGCAGAGGAGCTCAGATGTGACAGTTTAGATGTCCCTCCAAACTGCCAATATCTCAAACCCCTCCTTTAACCCTTTCAGAGTCAGCAGGCCCTCTCAGGGTCAGAAATTTTTCGAAAAAAAAAAAATTATTTTTTCTTATGAAATGATAGAGAATCTTTTCCTGATCATAATGACACCAAAAGTAAGAGATTTGATGGAAAACTTACCGAATTATGCTCTCACGAAGTTAGCGGTCCCAATGATGTTTACGCACCAGGAATTTTGCCCACTTTGAGCCCTATTTTCGGCCAATTCCAATATACCACTCGACAGAAATCATAACTATTTTGCTAGAACTCCATTTTTTCTATTGAATGAGTACAAGAAACCACCCATTTACTGGTTTCAACTATCCAATAAAGTGGTCAGAAATTGGCAATTTTGCCAATTTCACACAAATTTCAAAAGATGCCAATTTCCAAATAGGGTCCAGAATAAACAGACATTCCTGGCACTAAAATAACATTTCCTCTGTTCATTAGTCATGTCCCCAGGCCTCTGTTACATTTCTTTTGCTTTCCCCTTTGAATTTTTATTCTGACAAAAAACAGAATATTTACTGTTATGCAGTCTAATACATTAGTGTAGAAATGGTATAAATAATATCAGCATACTTGTGAAAGAATATTAGACTCACCAGTTGACATGTATTGGACGCATGGCATGATTTGTTTACTTTTGAAATTTGGCAAAAATCGAGCTTTTCTGTTACTTTGAGCTCAATTTCAAGGTACGTACTTTTCTTTGTGAAACAAATCAAAATCTTCTCAATTTCTGTAATATGTCTTTCATTCTATAAAATGAGACCAGGAAAACTAGATCAGAACCATAAATCTCATACGAAAATACAGTGCAAAGTCGCTGTTTTAAACCAAAAAGACGGTCGGAGTTTTTTTTTTCTCTGTGTGCTGCAGGATTTTTTTTGTACTGCGCACACTGACCACATAGACCCATTCTTTCATATGTAGGCCTACCAACTTTTTCTCGCTAGATTTGAAGGCGCTAGAATTTATGCGTACTAGTACAGCACCAACCCTGGCATGCAAGCCGTACTAGTACGGCACCAACCCTGAAAGGGTTAAAGTGCAGGCATTGTACTTCCTATTCCCAGAACTCAAATCTGGTTAACCAGTTTCCCTGAATCCCTTCACAAAATATTACCCTGCTCACACTCCAACAGCTCGTCAGTGAAGATGTTGCACTATATTTGTCGTTAGTTCATAGTATGTATATTCATGACTGATATATCATTTCTTACTTTGGCCAGTTGATCCTGCTCCATTCATTGATGGTGTGCGCATCAATAGTCCGCACTATTTATGCAAGATGGTTCTGAAGGAAGCTGGGACACACAAGTTCACACTGGTAGTATCTCAGTATGAGAAGCACCTCTCTATACACTACTCACTCCGAGTTTATTCTACATGTCCATTTTTATTGCACAAAATTAAGAATCTCTGCAAACATAAACATGAGGTAAGAGTTGCTTTTTTATTATAAAATGCTGAGTTCTAGTAAAAAATATATATATATATATATATATATATATATATATATATATATATATATATATATATTGGCAGTTTGGAGGGATATGTTGTGTATCTTTATATGTATATGCTTCTAAACTGTTGTATTCTGAGCACCTCTGCAAAAACAGTGATAATGTGTGAGTGTGGTGAAAGTGTTGAATGATAATGAAAGTATTTTCTTTGGGGGATTTTCTTTCTTTTTTGGGTCACCCTGCCTCGGTGGGAGACGGCCGACTTGTTGAAAAAAAAAAAAAATTAGCAAAAATCAAAGTTTTCTGTTCCTTGTCCAAAAAACACTAACTTTCAGACCACTGCGTCTGGACAGTAAGCCAACAGTTACTCTGCTGTGGCCTAAAGCATGCAGTACAGTAACAATTAATTTTTAATATTGTGATAATTTTTTTATGTTGGTTTGGAATGAATGGCCAGACATCGCTAATTGTATTTGCTGGTATTTCTATTATATCATAGGATACCCCAGATTATATTTGTATTCAGGTTTCATGAAACACTAATGGGAATGGTAATCTTTCTCCATAATATCTATATAGCACCAGTTAAATCACTTTTTTGTTCTTCTGTTTATATCTCTCACTGTACTGGCCTCCTGCTCCCATTGGCTGTTCATTGCATCTCTCTCTCAGCAGCATGAAGGATGTTGCTTATGTGGACATGTAACTTTTTTCTCCATCCATGAGGACAGTGTTGAAGTGGGATGGCTTGTTTAGAATGTTAACCTGGTCTTTTAATGGATCTGAGTGGGAACCAACACTCAGGTCTTTGAGCTCTACTCAAAAGCATTTTAAGTGCCATCTGCACCACTAAAATAACTTGCTAGCTAGTGCTGCAAGTGTTGCTGATATTTCAGTGGTCCAGATGCCACTTAAATATGCTGTTCACAGATTAGCTGAGTCATTCACTTCTCATCAATTAGTGGATGACAATCATTTTCTAGTACATATCTACACCTAGTGAGAGATCTCATTTGCCACAAACTACTGTACTCAACTACAAGCCAGCACACACACTCCAATTCCTTGTTTGAGCATGTTAAGGGAGATAACATGCTTGAGGGATTACACGGAGGAACATGTATGTATTATCTCTATCTTGATCATTTGAGAGTTTTTTCTTTTTTTTTTTTAATACATCGGCCATCTCCCACTGAGGCAGGGTGACCCCCCCCCCCCAAAAAAAAAAAAAAAAAAAAAACTTAAACCATTACTCACACACTATCACTATTTTTGAAAAGGTGCCCAGATACGACAATTTAGATGTCACTCCAAACAGCCAGTATCCCAAACTCCTCCTTTAAAATGCAGGCATTGTACTTTCCATCTCCAGGGTTCAAGTCTGGCTAACCAGTTTCCCTGAATCCTTTCACAAAATATTACCCTGCTAACAATCCAACAACTTGTCCTGTCCCAAAAACCATTCGTCTCCATTCATTCCTAACACGCTCACACATACCTGCTGCATGTCCAGGTCCCTTGCACACAAAACCTCTTTTACCCTTCTCTCTGTCCTTTCCTAGGATGACCCCTACCCCTCCTCCCCTCCTCTACAGATTTATACACCCTCCAAGTCAACCTATTTTACTCCATCCTCTCTAAATGACCAACCCACCCCAATAACCCCTCTTCAGCCCTCCACACCTCCTCCTAATTTCCACACTATGAATTCTCTGAAAAATATTTACACCACTTGTTGCCCTTAGACATGACATCTCCACTGCCTCTAGCCTATATCTCACTGCAGCATTTACAACCGATGCTTCACACTTACATAGAGTGTTTGTACCACTATACTCTCGTACATTCTCTTCTTTGCCTCCATGGATAACGTTTTTTGTCTCCACAGATACTGCAGTGCATCACACTTTTTTTTCATGAATTCTGTGGTTAACCTCATCCTTCACAAACCCATCTGCTGACAAATCTACTCCCAAATACCTGAATACATTCACTTCCCAATTTTTCTTTACCTAACTCATTTGACACCCTCATCACCTTACTCTTATCTATGTTCACTTTCAACTTTCTTTACAAACAATTGAGAGTTAATGGCAAATATTCACGAGGCCTACCCATTCTTGATTTATGTTCAAGAAATGAAGAATAGTTATTGACCAGCTTTGCCTTTCTAGATACTGTTACCAATGATTAATTCCAGCTCATTCCTGAGTTTTTTTGGTGCAATTCCAGGTGACTTTGCCTACTTATAGGTTTGTCCTTTCCACACATTCTTCACAAAGATGACTCCAACACTCCTTTGCTGACTTTTCTACACTTCCATGAGGATTCAGAAGCTAGAGTTTTTTAATTTAGTTTGAAAGAAAATAAGTTTTCTATCTTGGGATGTTCTCAATCTTTGTTCACTAAAAATGTATAGGTTAACATTTCTGCTTTCTCTCCTTTTATGAAATAGGACATTTTAGTATTTTCATCACTGACGATGCATTGATATCACGGCAACTTATTTCTTGTTTTGGTCTGCATTCCTGGGCCAGAATATTTCCATCTTTCCTGACATCTCATGACTGCAGAACAAGTTATGCACTGTTTTCTCCATGGTTTGGACACTGGTGGTAGGATTCCTATTAGTGAGTCATGGAACCTGAGCATAGAATACCGTAACATTTTGATATAAGAAAAATTAATTTTTGTGGTTAGTTTCATGAACTCTGGTGTTTACCACTTTCTGTTGTTAACTCCTCCTCACCTAGCTATTCTGAATGAAGCTGAGGCTTGTTCAGTGAATAATGCAGACAGCTAAGAAGCGAAGTTTACAGTTGAACATAAGCAGATAGCTTACCAAGTGAAAAGTGACCTAACACTCATCAGTGTAACCACTAAGTTTCTATTCTTAGTAGCTATTGAACCCCTTCACAAAAAGTAGTTTTCCTTCTTCAGACCATTATAATATATAATAACCTCCTCTTATGGTATGTGAATTACCTCCTCCAGTGTTTATCCAGCTCTTAACTTAAATGATATTGAATGACTTCCATTGAATTATGTATTTATAATTACATCTGTTTTACAGATCACTGGGAAGTGGAGTGGCGAAACTGCTGGCGGCTGCCCCAATCATCCTGCTACATATAAGAACAACCCAGTTTACCAGTTTAGAACTGAGAGTGATTTGCATTGTCTCAGAATTGAACTCAAGGCTCCTAAGGATATTCAGGTATTAATCTGCTATTTAGTGAAATGCTTTGTTCGAAATCATTCTGTATACTTCATCAGCAAAAAGAAAAAAATCAGCAAAAAGAAAAAATCATACCTTCTAAAACTGTTAGGACCATTTGCACTATGGTATTTATCAGGGCTGTTCTTAGACTGGTATTGTTTACTATTTATGTTGTAAAGTAAAAGGACACAAGTGCAACTAATGTGACATTTATTGTGGCAACGTTTCGCTCTCCAGGAGCTTTATCAAGCTCCTGGAGAGCGAAACGTTGCCACAATAAATGTCACATTAGTTGCACTTGTGTCCTTTTACTTTACATATTGTCGGTAATGCAACCACCCAGGGAAGTACTACCGTCCTGCCAGATGACTGTGAAACAAAAACCTGTAACTGTTTTGCATGATGGTAGGATTGCTGGTTTCTTTTTCTGTCTCATAAACACGCTAAGATAACAGGGATATCTTGCTACTCCTACTTACACTTTGGTCACACTTCACAGACACGCACATGCATATATATATATATACATACATCTAGGTTTTTCTCCTTTTTCTAAATAGCTCTTGTTCTTTTTTATTTCTTCTATTGTCCATGGGGAAGTGGAAAAGAATCTTTCCTCTGTAAGCCATGCGTGTCGTATGAGGCGACTAAAATGCCGGGAGCAATGGGTCTTGGCAAGAGGCGTGGAGTTAAAAGATAAAGAATCACACACAAAGTGGGAGTTGTCACAGCTGCTCTTTGCTGATGACACTGTGCTCTTGGGAGATTCTGAAGAGAAGTTGCAGAGATTGGTGGATGAATTTGGTAGGGTGTGCAAAAGAAGAAAATTAAAGGTGAATACAGGAAAGAGTAAGGTTATGAGGATAACAAAAAGATTAGGTGATGAAAGATTGAATATCAGATTGGAGGGAGAGAGTATGGAGGAGGTGAACGTATTCAGATATTTGGGAGTGGACGTGTCAGCGGATGGGTCTATGAAAGATGAGGTGAATCATAGAATTGATGAGGAAAAAGAGTGAGTGGTGCACTTAGGAGTCTGTGGAGACAAAGAACTTTGTCCTTGGAGGCAAAGAGGGGAATGTATGAGAGTATAGTTTTACCAACGCTCTTATATGGGTGTGAAGCGTGGGTGATGAATGTTGCAGCGAGGAGAAGGCTGGAGGCAGTGGAGATGTCATGTCTGAGAGCAATGTGTGGTGTGAATATAATGCAGAGAATTCGTATTTTGGAAGTTAGGAGGAGGTGGCGGATTACCAAAACTGTTGTCCAGAGGGCTGAGGAAGGGTTGTTGAGGTGGTTCGGACATGTAGAGAGAATGGAGCGAAACAGAATGACTTCAAGAGTATATCAGTCTGTAGTGGAAGGAAGGCGGGGTAGGGGTCGGCCTAGAAGGGTTGGAGGGAGGGGGTAAAGGAGGTTTTGTGTGCGAGGGCTTGGACTTCCAGCAGGCATGCGTGAGCGTGTTGATAGGAGTGAATGGAGACAAATGGTTTTTAATACTTGACGTGCTGTTGGAGTGTGAGCAAAGTAACATTTATGAAGGGATTCAGGGAAACCGGCAGGCCGGACTTGAGTCCTGGAGATGGGAAGTACAGTGCCTGCACTCTGAAGGAGGGGTGTTAATGTTGCAGTTTGAAAACTGTAGTGTAAAGCACCCTTCTGGCAAGACAGTGATGGAGTGAATGATGGTGAAAGTTTTTCTTTTTCGGGCCACCCTGCCTTGGTGGGAATCGGCCGGTGTGATAATAAAAATAAAAAAAAAACAATGGGCTAGTAACCCCTTCTCCTGTATACAATTACTAAAAAAGAGAAGAAGAAAAACTTTATAAAACTGGGTTGCTTAAATGTGCGTGGATGTAGTGCGGATGACAAGAAACAGATGATTGCTGATGTTATGAATGAAAAGAAGTTGGATGTCCTGGCCCTAAGCGAAACAAAGCTGAAGGGGGTAGGAGAGTTTCAGTGGGGGGAAATAAATGGGATTAAATCTGGAGTATCTGAGAGAGTTAGAGCAAAGGAAGGGTAGCAGTAATGTTAAATGATCATTATGGAAGGAGAAAAGAGAATATGAATGTGTAAATCGAGAATTATGTGGATTAAAGTAAAGGTTGGATGCGAGAAGTGGGTCATAATAAGCGTGTATGCACCTGGAGAAGAGAGGAATGCAGAGGAGAGAGAGAGATTTTGGGAGATGTTAAGTGAATGTATAGGAGCCTTTGAACCAAGTGAGAGAGTAATTGTGGTAGGGACTTGAATGCTAAAGTAGGAGAAACTTTTAGAGAGGGTGTGGTAGGTAAGTTTGGGGTGCCAGTGTAAATGATAATGGGAGCCCTTGATTGAACTTTGTATAGAAAGGGGTTTAGTTATAGGTAATACATATTTTAAGAAAAAGAGGATAAATAAGTATACACGATATGATGTAGGGCGAAATGACAGTAGTTTTTGTTGGATTATGTATTGGTAGATAAAAGACTGTTGAGTAGACTTCAGGATGTACATGTTTATAGAGGGGCCACAGATATATCAGATCACTTTCTAGTTGTAGCTACACTGAGAGTAAAAGGTAGATGGGATACAAGGAGAATAGAAGCATCAGGGAAGAGAGAGGTAAAGGTTTATAAACTAAAAGAGGAGGCAGTTAGGGTAAGATATAAACAGCTATTGAAGGATAGATGGGCTAATGAGAGCATAGGCAATGGGTCGAAGAGGTTATGGGGTAGGTTTAAAAATGTAGTGTTAGAGTGTTCAGCAGAAGTTTGTGGTTACAGAAAGTGGGTGCAGGAGGGAAGAGGAGCGATTGGTGGAATGATTGGTAAGGGAGAAAAAGTTAGCATATGAGAAGTTTTTACAAAGTAGAAGTGATGCAAGGAGGGAAGAGTATATGGAGAAAAAGAGAGAAGTTAAGAGAGTGGTGAAGCAATGTAAAAAGAGAGCAAATGAGAGAGTGGGTGAGATGTTATCAACAAATTTTGTGAAAATAAGAAAAAGTTTTGGAGTGAGATTAACAAGTTAAGAAAGCCTAGAGAACAAATGGATTGTCAGTTAAAAATAGGAGAGGAGAGTTATTAAATGGAGAGTTAGAGGTATTGGGAAGATGGAAGGAATATTTTGAGGAATTGTTAAATGTTGATGAAGATAGTGGAAGCTGTGATTTCGTGTATAGGGCAAGGAGGAATAACATCTTGTAGGAGTGAGGAAGAGCCAGTTGTGAGTGGTGGGGGAAGTTCGTGAGGCAGTAGGTAAAATGAAAGGGGGTAAGGCAGCCGGGATTGATGGGATAAAGATAGAAATGTTAAAAGCAGTGGGGAAATAGTTTTGGAGTGGTTGGTGCAATATATTTAATAAATGTATGGAAGAGGGTAAGGTACCTAGGGAAATTTGGGAGAGAGCATGCATAGTTCCTTGTAAAAAAGGCAAAGGGGATAAAAGAGAGTGCAAAAATTATAGGGGATAAGTCCCGTTGAGTGTACCTGGTAAAGTGTATGGTAGAGTTATAAATTGAAAGAATTAAGAGTAAGACGGAGAATAGGATAGCAGATGAACAAGGAGGCTTTAGGAAAGGTAGGGGGTGTGTGGACCAGGTGTTTACAGTGAAACATATAATGAACAGTATTTAGATAAGGCTAAAGAGGTCTTTGTGGCATTTATGGATTTGGAAAAGGCGTATGACAGGGTGGATAGGGGGCAATGTGGCAGATGTTGCAAGTGTATGTGTAGGAGGTAGGTTACGAAAGCAGTGAAGAGTTTTTAACGAGGATAGTGAGGCTCAAGTTAGAGTATGTAGGAAAGAGGGAAATTTTTTCCCAGTAAAAGTAGGCCTTAGACAAGGATGTGTGATGTCACCCGGGGTTGTTTAATATATTTATAGATGGGGTTGTAAGAGAAGTAAATGCGAGGGTCTTGGCAAGAGGCGTGGAGTTAAAAGATAAAGAATCACACACAAAGTGGGAGTTGTCACAGCTGCTCTTTGCTGATGACACTGTGCTCTTTGGGGAGATTCTAAAAGAGAAGTTGCAGAGATTGGTGGATGAATTTGGTAGGGTGTGCAAAAGAAAAAATTAAAGGTGAATACAGGAAAGAGTAAGGTTAATGAGGATAACAAAAAGATTAGGTGATGAAAGATTGAATATCAGATGGAGGGAGAGAGTATGGAGGAGGTGAACGTATTCAGAATATTTGGGAGGGGACGTGTCAGCGATGGGTCTATGAAAGATGAGGTGAATCATAGAATTGATGAGGGAAAAAGAGTGAGTGGTGCACTTAGGAGTCTGTGGAGACAAAGAACTTTGTCCTTGGAGGCAAAGAGGGAATGTATGAGAGTATAGTTTTACCAACGCTCTTATATGGGTGTGAAGCGTGGGTGATGAATGTTGCAGCGAGGAGAAGGCTGGAGGCAGTGAGATGTCATGTCTGAGGGCAATGTGTGGTGTGAATATAATGCAGAGAATTCGTAGTTTGGAAGTTAGGAGGAGGTGCGGGATTACCAAAACTGTTGTCCAGAGGGCTGAGGAAGGTTTTTTGAGGTGGTTCGGACATGTAGAGAGAATGGAGCGAAACAGAATGACTTCAAGAGTTGTATCAGTCTGTAGTGGAAGGAAGGCGGGGTAGGGGTCGGGCCCAGGAAGGGTTGGAGGGAGGGGGTAAAGGAGGTTTTGTGTGCGAGGGCTTGGACTTCCAGCAGGCATGCGTGAGCGTGTTTGATAGGATGAATGGAGACAAATGGTTTTTAATACTTGACGTGCTGTTGGAGTGTGAGCAAAGTAACATTTATGAAGGGATTCAGGGAAACCGGCAGGCCGGACTTGAGTCCTGGAGATGGGAAGTACAGTGCCTGCACTCTGAAGGAGGGGTGTTAATGTTGCAGTTTAAAAACTGTAGTGTAAAGCACCCTTCTGGCAAGACAGTGATGGAGTGAATGATGGTGAAAGTTTTTCTTTTTCGGGCCACCCTGCCTTGGTGGGAATCGGCCGGTGTGATAATAAAAAATAATAAAATAA